TCTGGGAACATCGAAGTCTGTAGACTAGAGCCGGTGGCTTCAGGGATGTCTCCTATTTCTGCATCCAAAGTCAGACATGGGCTGTGTGGCTTGTATGTGTCTGTTTCAGTAGCAATGACCTTTTTCTTGTGGGTCTATTAATCTGGAGGGAATGGCAATGAATGTTCCTCTCTCCATTTTGAAGGTGTGATAGGTGAGCTGGAGAAGCCAAGATGCAAGGCTGGCCAAACCACCATGGAAAGAAAAGAGAAAGTGGAACAACATACATAGGAAGTTGGAAGACAGAGAGGATTCATAGGTGACTTCCCAATAAGAATAACTTGATGAATATGAACCTCTTTTCATAACTCTTGTGCTGAACTGAGGAGTATTTTCTGTGTCACCTCTGCTTCAGAAACATGAGAGTGCTTGCTAGAATAAAGACTGTCCGAGCTCACCAGAGACCTACAAAAATCAAAATTTCTGGGTGTGGTCCCAGAAAGCTGCATTTTCCCAAGATCCAAGATGATTCTGACAGGCAGGGTTTGAGAACAGTAGGGGAGGAGGCAGTGGAAAGTACAAGAAATGAAATGGTTGGGGCAGGCCAGAGAAAGTGCCTGGGAGATAGTATACTGAGGTCAGATTCGACAGGCAGTTATCCAGCACTCACAGGTAAGTGGGCTGTGAACCAAAAGACTTCATTTTCTTTCTGTAAGCTATGTATCTAATTATTGGCAGAGCCATGGTTTTTACTTCAAAGTCTAAGACTCTTTACTTTGTGCCATGCTTAAGTCAAAAGAGTTAGGAAAGTGTTAGCATTTGGATGTCAGATTACAGGTAAAAGGCAACATGTCTTGAGATCCAGATTTGGAATATGTTACATGTTGAAATGAGGACACCTTTCAGGAAAATGGTGTGAAAGCAAAACATGTTCCTTTTTTTTGACCTCAGATTCTGAACTCATCTTCTGTTTGTGTTCTGCATGAATATTTTTGTACATAATTTTGACACAATATTTTTGTGTCAATTTAACAAGAATAGTTGAGCATATAATTTTACACTTTACATGCAACTATGTACAAAAATATAATTGACACATTTTAAAAATTTATAATTGTGATAATATATCACAAAACATCATCTTGATATGCTAAGGCATTCTAGCACACATTAACAAATACTCAACTAATATTTATTAAGATATCTATCTTATCCTACCTAAAAGTAACTCTGCCAATGGCACTACACATCCTGAACTTTGGACATGTGCTTTTAACAATTTTATCTTCTGCTCCAGATCAATGTCTCTTTCCACTGCACCCCTGCAAACTGTTGTCTAGGACCTGGATGCATAACCTTAAATTAAGCCTTCGTGTTTACCAGGCTGGCTTGCTCAGCATTGCTTTCCTAGAAGCATAGACTTGGTCGCCCTCTCTCTTCAGTATCCACTTGTTCCTCTTTCCATCATGCTGCTGAGCTTCTCCTTATTTCTGGCTGAATTTCACCCAAGGAATTCGAAGCTCTGTCTTTAATGGTCCTAATAAACTCCCTTCTCTCTGCACCTACTGAATGTGCACACTGAATGAATAATCTTCAATATCCTAATGCCTCTTATTGACATGGTGTCAGTAAAATATTTGATCGATAAATAAATTAATAAATGATTTTAGACCACTGAGTAATATATTTTAGGTGGCTTTTAAGTGTTAAGATGACAGGCATTGAAAATGAGCAAATAAGTGTGATACTGATACTGATTTCTTCTATGAAGAAAATAAAACAGAATAAAGTATTAGTGAGGGAGAGTCCAGAAGGTTCTTGCTCTCTATGCAGAATAGATAGGGAAGATCTCTTTGAGACAGAAAGAGTTGAATAATGAGAAGGAGCCATCAAGGAGATGATGTAAGAGTGTACAATGGAGAAGTGTGGAAAGACCCAAAATGGGGCTAAGTTCAAAGCCCTAGAGGAAACAGAAAACAAGCCCCAAGGAAGAAAGTGGTAGGAGGAGAAAGGAAAGAGGTTCGCAAAGGAAGTGTGTATTGATCTTACCGACCATGGCAAGCAGTGTGAAGTATGCTTTAACTGCAGATGAACCCCCCAGAGGGGGTGCCAAAGTGAGGACCCTGATTAAGCCTCCCATCCAGGTTCAGAGGAGACTGAACTCACTGCCAATCCCCGTACTTCATGCGCCTCAGCTGCCTTTGGATGTGACCTTCTGCCTGGATTTCTTTCTCTAGCTCCCTCAGTTTTTGTACTTTGTCTTGTGCCTTTTGGACTCTGGACTCCTGTAGTAAAGAAACATGATTAATTTTGCTTAGTTTCATATTTCTCAAACTTAATTGCCCACAAACTTTTTGCATGAAATGTCTATTACCCACTATGAGAAAGTATTCTAGACATTTAAGGTATCCAAGTCCTTCTCTCTACAGCTGTAAAATAGATGTAGTAATTTTCTATTGCTTACCTTTTGAATTGTAGTTATTTCTGGTTTTTATATATGTATATATTATATTATATGTATATATGTATTATACACACAAACCAAAGGTTTGTCCATAAAGTATCCAGCCATGCACTATGAAAAATAGACACCTTTGTTGAAGAAGATATAGGATACAAGAAACCTGTACATAGGACAATGACACCTCAGTCTCCTTCAAACCAGGCACCTTGGACCTCACACAGTTCTCCCATCAGCTGCCCCATTGTATTTTTCTGAATCTCATCGATGGTCTAAAAATCTTTCCTTTCACAGGTGATTTTAGTTTTGAGAAAACCGGAAGTTGCAGGCCTCCAAATCTGGGCTGTAGGGTGGCTGAGTCATCCAGGTGATTTGATGTTTCACCAAAAGCTCTGCCCAGGACGTGATTCATGATCACGTTGTAAAAGGAAGGTCTCTGAAAAAAGGTAAAATGGAGCCAGATTTAAGCAATTACAATTGGGTAGACACAGATTAGTGCATTTACTTGTAACCATATATCTGTCTGGAATGTATCTATCCATGCTTTAAGAAAAAGAGACATTTATTGAAGATACAAGATAGAAGAAACATTGTACGTAGAACAATGACACCTCTGTCCCCTTCAAAGTAGGCACATTGGGACCTCACACAGTTCTCCCAATCACCATCAGCTGCCATTTCATATTCTCCTGAATCTCACTGATGGTTTGAAATCTCTTGGTTTTCAAAGGTTATTTTAGTTTTGGGAAAAGCTAGAAGTCACAGGGCACCAAATGTGAGTTCTGATGGGGCTGAGTCACCTGTGTAATTTTCTCTTTTGCCAAAAAGCTGTGCACGAGACATGGTGCATGAGCAGGGCTGTTGTCATGATGAAGCTGTTAATCGCTAGTTGCCCACAGCTGTGGCCTTCTGAATAATCTGAATGGTTTCTGAGGAGTAATGTTCAAGCTTAACAGAAAATTTGATGCAGATTCATTGCTATACCTGCTCAGTCATTTTGAATGCGATGGCCACACAGTACACATGCTCACTCAATGGGTCTACCACCCCCTACTGATTACTACAGTGAAGTTGTTATTGTTCACACATGCACATTCCAGTCCACTCTTTGACTGCCAGTTTGCATGGATGTCATGCAAACTGTTCCTGTTATATTAACAACGGTTGGACTTTTTCCAGACAGACCCTTGTATATATGCCATTTTACATATATATATATATATTTTATTTTAGAAAATATATATGGCTTAAGCTATTATGGAGGCTCACAAGTATAAAATCTATAGGCTAGAAACCCGGAAAGTAACCAATGTTGTAGTTCAAGTCCAAAGGCCTTTTGTTGTAGAATTCCCTCTTTTCCTGGGGAGATCACTCTTTTCTTCTATTCAGGCCTCCAGCTGATTGACTGAGGCCCACCCACATTAGAGAGGGCAATCTGCTTTACTCAAAGTTCACTGGTTTAAATGTTAATCTCATTCATAACATCCTCACAGACATATTGAAATAACGTTTGACTACATATCTGAGCACTGTGACCTAGATAAGTTGATACATAAAATTAATCATCATAGTTTTCCTGTAAGACATGAGAAAGATAAAGAGTAAATGTTCCATTTTAAGAATGAGTTCTGTATTTATTTCATCACAGGTGAATTTGAAGATACGTACTTTCAGTGCTGACAGTAAAACAACCATGAAATCAACAATATCCTCCTAATAATGGCCAAAGTTATTAAATGCCTTCCTGAAATAAATGTTAAAAGTGTAGTAATCAGACTAGAAGAGTGAAGTGAGCAAGATTAGACCAAGGGTAAGAACAAAGGCTAGGTCAGTATAATAAGAATAGAAAGGAAAAGATTGACAGGAATTTACTGATGAGATTCCTTAGTAAAAAGTAGAGACAGCTAGTAGTAACCTAAGATTTGTTGATGCTGGATAGGATGATGATTTTGCTTTTTTGTTTGATTGTTTGTTCAGAGAAGCTTTAATTGATCAGCACTTCATACAAATGGATATTGTAGGTGAATCTCATTAGCATGCTGCAAGCTTACAATTATTCAAATGCATGAAGTCATAAAATATGTGGAAATCAAAATAACATAGAAAGCCAATAATTCCTATTCTGTTTCCTAGCATTCTAGGGTTTTACCCACATTTGTGATAGAAAGACACTTTCACCTTGAAATTAAATAGAGAACATGGTGTGGTCACACATTCATTGTTCAATTGTTTTAAAGATGATCTAGGCAAATGTACAACATTGAAGCATGTGCATTTTCAGTGTGCAGTCCAATTCCATTTATGTCTTGCATGATGAATTCAGAATTTCAGATAATTCTATTTAATAGAAAATATATTAAAGTCAGTTTAATAGTGGTGTTTTGGAGAATTAAAAATAAAATATTTAATCTGAGTACCACTTTTCCATTCTGAAAATCTAGAGTGCTTGGAAAGTGAATACACTAAGACATGAAATATCTCCTCAATTGGGTTTTTGTATTTCTTGAGTTTGAAACCATCTGTCAATCCACAAAAGACCTTTCCTTTTTCTCTCTCCCAGCCTCCTGCCTCAGCATACACCTATGACATCAACAGCTAAAGACAGTGGCTGCCAACCAGAGTCTTGAAGCATCATTGGGGAGACCAGCCCTTGAGAATATTCAGTCAGAGGAATTCACAGCAGAAGAGACCATCTACTAATTTCCATTGAGCCAAGTCCCAATTATAACGTGGCCACACAGATCACCCCTTACGTGTCTCAGCAATGTCTCATTTAAAGGTGTCAGGAAAATGGCTTAATGGCAAGTTCTGTCACAAAAGAAATACAAGGGTAAGAGCATATGATGGCCTAGAAAATCTATTGCCACTTATAAGCTGTATGATCTAGGGCAAGATATTAATCTTTCTGTGCTTCTATTCTTTCATCAGTAAAATGGATACAACTTTTGTTGTTGAGGTTGTATTATGTATTATATACTTTTCATACTTTACCTCTCTTGATCTTCATAATAACATTATGAAGTAGGCATAACTGTATATCTTCTCATTTCTTAGAAAAGAGATAACTGATGCTCAAAGACTTCATGTCTTACCTGTGTCTCATAAGCATGGAGGCACAATTTGAGAGCCAGGACTCCCTAAAGCTTGACCTTTATTACAGCACTGATTCTCAATATTCTAATTACCAACTATCTCAAAGGTTGTTCCTGGGGTAAATTTATATAATGCCTGCAAAACACATAGCACAAATAACTGAAAATAAATGCTAGCTTTAGCACCTGGGTACATCAGCAGCAACAACAAAGTCTTCTTAAGTTAAACTTTTTATTAATCCCCTTCCATCATTCCTCTCACCCTCCTTGACTACAAGTGAATTCAGTCAGTACCACCTAATGGGTATCTGTCCATGGAGTCCAAACCTCCTCATCATTTCTGTGCATTCCATGAATGAATATGTTGTCTCTACAGTTTCAGCTGTTTTTAAGCAATAGGTTCTTGGGTAGAAGCTCAGAGTCAATTCTTAGCTCTTCCACTGGACTTTGAGCAAAACACCTCAGAAGTTCCATTTTCTCATTTCTGAAATGGAATAATAAAGAATACTTTGAGATTTTAATATAAAAAGTCTACTTGGGAGTATTCTTGGGTTTGACACCTGTGGAGAAGGACAAGAAAGCAGGATTGAGCAGAGGGGACAGATGGCTTTAATCAATCTCAGAGAAGGTCTCAGCTGATCCTGTGAGTAACTGTAAAGGAGAATGATCCTTCAAAGTTGTTTAAAGTCAGAGAAAGGGGACTGAGTCTTTGTAACCTACAACAGCCAATCTTGAATGCAGGCTGCCCCTGGAACAAGACACAGCTTTAGGTGAGCTCTTTTTTAAAAAAAATCCTCACCCAAGGATAAGTTTTTATTGATTTGAGAGAAAAAGAAAGAGAGAGAGAATAAGAGACAAACATTGATCAGTTTTCTCCCATACATGCCCTGAAAGGGGATCACTCCTGAAATCTAGGTATGCACTCTGACAGAGGATCAAACCCTCAACCTTTTGGTGTATAGGACAATGCTCCAACTAACTGAGCCATCCAGCCAGCATGAATTAGCTTTCTTTAGACAAGAACAAGTTCCAGAATGGACTGACAGCCAGAAGCACTTGCAGCCACTGGGGGAATTATGACCCTCAGTCCTTAAAGTGGCCTTGGGCAGTATATTACAGTATCCATTGTAGATAGTGATGGACATGTTTTACCAAATCTATTTATGAATCTTATGTACATTCTCTTGATTAATGATCATGCAGAATCAGACAAGGCATTACATCATGAGTATCTGTCTGCATTAAGACTGAAATAACTCATTATATTGTGTTGAACCTTATATTAAGCTGAAATCTTGCTCCAACTTCCTCAATTCTTGCAAAGAGAAAATTCTGAGGAAACTGCTTAAAGAGCTCAACATGGAATTGGAACAAAATGAGAAGTACAATACTTGGAAATTATAAATGTTTTCTGGAGGAATAAATTGTTGAGTGAAATGCTCAATTTATGTAGCTAATGGCTGTTGACAGCACCAGTCTTTACTCACAGTCCTAGTTTTCAGCCCCTGAGTAAGAATAATGGCAAATACTTACTAAATATTCATGGCATGCTGGACACTGTTCTAAGCATGTCACGTTAAGTTAACTATTTTAATATCATAATAAGTCTATAGAACGGGCTTTATAACCACATTATAAAATACATTTCATAAATAAGGAAACAGGCTCAGAGAGATTAAAATGTACATCTAAAGTCACATGCCTAGCAAATAGTAAAAACTGGAACACTCTCCTACATCTCAGAATGGAAATGATATAACAGAAATTGGCACCTAAAATTTTAATCCTTACTCATCTTCCTAACATTTTCTTTTTCTCTTTGCCATAATTATTAGTTTCCTAGGGCTTTCCTAATAAAATAGCACAAACTGGGTGACTTAAAACAACAGAAATTTATTCTCTTACTGTTCAGGAGCCCAGAAGTCTAAAACCAACTATTAGCAAGGCTGATTGAGTCTTCCTGCAAAGCTCTGTAGGAGAGTGTGTTCCATGCCTTTCTCTTAACTTCTGGTATTGCTAGCAATCCTTGGCTTGTAGACTCATCTTTCCAATCTCTGCTTTTATTGTCACCTGGTGTTTTCCCTGTGTGTCTGTTTCTATGTCTTTTCTCTTCTTATAAGGACACTAGTCAGGATTAAGAGTCACTTTAATAGAGAAGACCTCTTTTTAACTTGATTATATCTGCAGTCCTTATTTCCAAATAAGGTCACATTCATAGGTAAGAGTTAGGATTTCAACATATCCTATTGGAGAATGCATTTCAACCCATGTCACCACATAATCTTCAAGAAGATTAATTCTCAGGGGAAACACTAATTCTATCAATGTATATTTTTATATATCTAAAATATGTCTAGCATTGTACTAACCACTGGAAACAGAGTGGCTAAAAGACATACCCATTAGCAGGTAGATCAAATATTTATTAAGCACCTACTATTTATCAAGCAAGGTCCAAGAACTGAGAATGCAGTAATGAGCAGAATAAAGTGTCTGTTCTCAAGGAGTTTATCTTTAAGTATAATGACATAGACAATAAACACATAACAAATATGATCTTTTCTGATACCAAAATATGTTATGAAATAAACTAGTAAGGAAATATGAGAAAGAGTGACTGGGACAGGATCAGCAACTTTCAAGAGTCAGGCAGGCTCTCCTGGGAGGGTGACATTTGAGATGGCACTTGAGTGACTAGAAGGGAGCAGTTGTACAAAGGTCTTGGAGCAAAGAATTTAAGCAGAAGGGCAGCCAGGGGCACACACCTTGAGTGGGAATACCTATAGAATGTTTAGGAAAGAGAACAAAAGTCATTTTCTTTATAGCACATGAATTAAGAGAAAAATAAAAAAGAAACATGTTAGAGAAGTAAGTGGATAAGGAGTTTGGCTTTTATCTTTTGTTCTTATTGGAAGTTACTTACGGGTTTTTTTTTAAGGGCAATGATTTGAATATGAGTTTTAGAAACATCTTTTTGGCTGCATTCTCTAAGATAGACTATAGAGGGGTAGAACCAAATCAGGAAGACCACTTACGCAGCTACTTACTGTATGAATTCAAACAAAAGACGATGAGAACTTGGAGCAGGGTGGTAGTGGTGAAGTTCGTGAAAAGGAGTTGGAACAGAGATACAGTTTAGAAGCAGAGAGGATGGGACTTTCTCATGAATGGGAAAAAGAAGTCAAGTATGCTATTTCTCGAACAAAGAACTCACAGTGTAATGGGAGGGCTCATAGAAAGAGATAGTTCTAATTTATTGTAATAGGTGGTAATATAAGTCCAGATGGATCTCCAGAACTATTTGGGGAAACTTGAAGGGAACTTAGAGTTCTCTCAAGACTGATGAGCTTGTATCTTTCATAGCTGATAGTTTGTCCTATTCTCATTTCAAAGACTGGCATGACTATGAGAAACAGGTTATACATGGCGTTTTGCACACTGAGCACCCACATCAAAACACCATAAGCTTTGATGAAAACTCCTGTTTCACATTTTTTGAAATACGATTAGCATGTGTTAGAGTATTGGGAAACCATTTAATGAATGGAGGGTGGGTTAGAATCAGAACGTGAGCTTGACCCTGATATTCTCTCTCTGATTCTAGAGGAATAAAACTTGAGGCAGTAGGCTGTTGGTCTTGAAAGAAACCTCATGTGAGGACATAAATAGGCAGACACAGTTCACCTGGGGCCAGTCTCTCAAGATACTGTGTGCTCAAGCACTCCGGGTCTCCACTGTGCCAACAAAAGTTCTCCCAAATGTGACATATGCTCCCTTGGAGACAGAAAAACTCTGAATGGAACTGCATGACTTCCTAAGCCCCTAAGTCCCATTTCCTTAGACAGAATCATTTGTATCAGTATAAAACAAACTATCACTAGCATAACCTTTACAATTATAATTGCTCTGTATTAATCATTATTAAGGGAGACACACTATTGCCAAATCGGCCACAAAGCTTCCTATAATACCTAAACAGAGTGTAACTTTATATATATTCTGTCTTGTGCCTAGCTCATTTCATCTCTCCAATATTAAAGATTTTACATTGACCCAGAATATTAGCTTACTTTGTTGCTCTTTTGGGCTTCTGATCACTCATTCATGGGTTGTTTCTCTTGAGGAACTTTCCCTTTTATAATTTCTTTCCTAGCATTGGTGTGCTGCCAGGACAGTATTATTTCATTAAATGTATAAACTAGGTTAACATACATTTTGTAGGTATCTGTTTTAGGGGTTACTTTCTGTGATATAACTTTATGAAAATATATTAAGTCTTTCAAACAAGCCATGGCCTCTTGGAACTCTGCCTGAAATACAAGTTGTTATTATCACTTGGGAGAGTGCAGTAACTTCACTATTCATCTGCCTAGTCAGAGATTAAGAAGTAAGACACAGATCAGTGTTTTCATAATCGAGGATGCTTTTCTATAAAATAAAACTTTGAAATAAAATATTCAGTATAAATACCAATGAGATTAAGTTGTAAAAGGAAGCTCTCTGAAAAAAGGTAAAATGGAGCCAGATTTAAGCAATTACAATTGGGTAGACACAGATTAGTGCATTTACTCGTAACCATCTATCTGTCTGGAATGTATCTATCCATGCTTTAAGAAAAAGAGACATTTATTGAAGATGATACAAGATAGAAGAAACATTGTACGTAGAACAATGACACCTCTGTCCCC